TCAGCATAAATTTCTTAAAAACAAGGACCTTCTCTTTTATAACCACGGCCCCTTTACCACACCCAAGCATTTTAACCTGGGTGGAACATTATAGAAAGTCCATACTTGGGCTTCCCCAAATATTCCAACACTGCCTGTTGTTGCTTTTGTTTAACCCAGGACCCAGTCAAGGTTCACACGTTCTGTTTAGTTACTGCGCCGCCTCTGTATCCCCACCTTTCATAATATTGACATTTTCGAGGAGGCCAGGTTAGTAGTTTTATAGAAAGTCCCCCGATCTGATTGTTTCCTTATCATTAGATTTCAGGCTGACATCTTTCGCAAGAATATACGGGGGTGGTGATGTGTCCTCACAACTGTGTTGCAGCAGGAGGTTCGTGTGTCAGTTTGTTGGTTATTAGTCATGAGGTGTTTCCGATGTATCCTCTTGTCTTTGGTAGATACAGGCGCTGTGTACATTGCGCAGGGGTAACTTCAGTGGATACTCCCTCCTTTCCTCTCAGACCCTCTGGTCGTCTTGCCCTCAGACCTGGACGTGAACTATTCTATTCTATCGTTTTCTCTGTCGTTTTGTTCAGTTTTGCTTATTTCTTGCTGGAGTTAGGAGGGCCTTGCTGCGTGCAGAGCGGAGAGGACTGCTGACCAGAGAGCGCCAGCCCTCCTGGTTACAGCCTTACAGCCACCACAGGCTCTGAGCTGTCACATCCCTGGGAGATCACACCTGCTTGTTAGCAGAACGTCTGTTTTGATGCTGAAAGAATTTGCAGGTCTTTCGTCCACCTGAGTTGCTTCATAAGGCATGATGTGTTCCCAGTCAGGACAGAGGTGGAGATGTTGGCCCTCAGAAGGCAGTGGCGGTTATGGTTATGGCCTGATCTGCTGCTCTTCACATAGGTGAGGCCTGAGGACTGTCCACAGCGGGCCGACAGCCACCTCCCTTTCTTGACTGTGAAGTTCACTGTGCCTGGTATCTCTAACTTCAGGGGAAGAGCCTCCACCTTGAAGATCCACCTTTATACAAAGCTTTCTAGCAGGGCGTGGTATGCCACAAGTTTGTCTTAGATTCTGTGATACTTGATCAACGAGCAAGCTAACAAAAACTTGATACTTTTAAAAGTTGACTTCAGAAAGTCTTTCATTTCTTTTACATGTTCAACTCACGTGGCCTTTATTGAGGCTACTCCATGGCCAGCATTGTGTGTCTCAGAACACATGAACCAGTGAACAGTCACTGCTCCCCAGGGCTGGGCTTCGTAGGGCCAACATGTCAGTTAATAAGTAGTTACAGGGAATGCGATGCTTCAAAGAAAGAAGTAAATATGACACTGTAGGTAATCAGGGAAGGCTTCTTGGAAAAGGAGACCTCAAGGCAAATCTTAAAAAGAGCCATTATGAAGAGAACGACGAGGGGCTTCCAGACTAGGCAGGTACACGCCACTAGCTGTGAAGTGAATGCCTAACCCAGAAGCTGGTACGTTTTGAAGCTGCTACCACCTTTTGGAGCAGATTTATTCTTGTACAGATGCACTGCACAGAATTGGGTGGAGCGGGGGACGGTTTCTAACACCTTGCCCATTTAGCTGTATTTTTATTTGGGTTAGGGATTTCATAAGGGGGTTCAAAAAAACACCAGACAGCCTTTAAAAATGATTGAAAATGAACCAACTCTGGTATAGTTTATTGTGTGCAACTCAAGGGGTAGGCTTAGTTGATCCTGAGGGAAAAAGAAGAAAAGCAGCCCACCAGTATGTGTTTAACCGAACAAGAATGCTGGTTAGGCTTCATTTTCATAAGCCAAGTGCATTTCCAGAGTACTTGGGTCTTCCCTCAGACAGCAACAGAAAAACCTAAGTCTCTGGGCTCTCATCAGAAGAACGTAGCCTGAGCTGTCTTTTCTCCAGCTCCTATCAGAAGTCTAGCTGGAGAAAGTTAATTTAGAAAGGACAGCAAAAGCAGGCCTGCAGACTCAGAGAGGTGGGCAGTGAATGGTGGTGAGAGAAGTGGGCAGAGCCCTGGAGCACTGTGGCCATGTCCACTGCAAAGGGGCCAGCAGCTGGGCACACTGCAGATTGTTGTCATGTGCCAAGCTGGCACACTGTGGCCAGACCTTCTAATTTTACAAGAATAGTCATAAATTCTAATGGTTTTTGAATGTTGGCAATTAATTCAAAAACTGTTTTTAAAAGGCTGCGCCAGCTATCAAACCCTGCCCTCCACACAAAACATCTTCACTGCAGGTGGCTCATTTGCATCCTCTGGTCGAAGGGAGATGTCTGTTCCATTTATTCTCCTGTGTGCTCTCTTTCATCTTTACAGCAAATTAGACAGCTGGAAGGCAGAATGCCAAGACTGTCTGAGCTTAGTCCTTCCCAGGACTCCCTTTGCATTGTACTTTAGTGGTCGACAGCTTAATTTTAATTGAAAGTTTTGGTAAGAGAAAAGCCCATGAAATCTGCATACGTGTGAAACTGTGGCTGAGGAAACTGGCAATCACATCACTTCACGCCACACGTGATGTCCATGTACCTAACTTCTTGTAGCATCTATTGCTGAAAACACATAGTCTCCCTTGTGAAACTGGAATGCTTCCTCCTTCCTGACAGGAGATCATTCACTTTTGCTCTGGCTGCCAGGAAGCTCATGTCATGGCTAAGTGGAACAGTCAGCCCAACAGCTGTTCGCTTTTGTTGGCTTCCTCAGCATTTCCCTGGTCCTAATCACTGTGTTTTCCGCTTTGTTTGTTTGCTATATGCAACTTCACATTCTTCTGTGGAAAGGTATTAAGAACCTCTGTTGGAAAAATGTGTATTTCATACAAATAGCCGCCTCTTTGTTGAATAGGTGTGGAGCTGAGCCATTACCTTTCCTACATAAAGCACAGCACAGCCGGGGGCTGCCTCGGCATTCATGGCAGGTGTGCGGTTCAGTGGCAATACGTACATTCACAGAGCTGTGCAGTCATCACCACTGTCCATTTCTAGAACTTTCTCATCCTTCCAAACAAACTCTGTACCCATTAAGCAACATTGCCCCATTCCCCCAGCTCTCTAATCTCTATTCTACTTTCTGTCTCTGTGAATTTGCCTACTCTAGGTACCTCATATAAGTGGAATCATACGATAGTTGTCCTTTTGTGACTGGTTTATTTCACTTAGGTTACTGTTTTCAAGGTTCATCCATGTTGTAGCACGTCTGAATTACCTTCCTTTTGAAGGCTGAGTAATATTCCATCATATGCATATGCCACATTTCGTCGGTCCATCTATCGTTGAACATTTGGGTTATTTCCACCTTTTGGTTATTGTGAATAATGCGGCTATAAATGTGGGTGTACACATACCTTTTTCAGTTCTACTTCCTATTCTTTTGGGTATATACTCAGAAATGGGATTGCTACATAATATGGAGTTCTGTTTTTAATTTTTGAGGAGCTTTCATACTGTTTTTCACAGTGGTTGCACCATTTTATTTTCTGTTGTTGTTTTTTCATAGTGGCCATCCTAATGAGTGTAAGGTGATATCTCATTATGGTTTTGATTTATATATGAGGCACCTTTTGTTCATTCTAGAACACACTGGGCCCTGTGTCTCAGCTTATACTGCTCTTCTGATTCCTTAACTTATACCTCTTATCTTTTGTAGAGACTCCAACTGCCTCAGCCTTTAGTGTTCATGTTCCAGTCTCCCTCGGGGGCCAGGTTGTACAGGGTATTGTAAGCCAAGGGAAGGAATTTAGAACTTACTCCAAGTCTATATTTAGAAGAATACGCCGCAGACTGAAAGGTCATTCGACCCTATGTTGAGCAGCGCTGGTCCTAGGGGTGAATGGTGGGGAGTGATTGGCGCTATGTGACGATACTCGATCAGGGAACCCAGAATACTCACTCCTGCCAGTTTATCCACTTTGTCCTCATGTGAGGCTCCAAACAGGTAGCAATGACAAAGGAAAGCCAAGTGACATGTGATCATTAGTGGAACTTGTGTAACACCACAGTGCAGAACTCTGTGGACAGCAGGCTGGAGTGCGTGGGGTCTATCATTCACCCTGCATTTTACACATTTGGCTTCCTAAGACCAAAGAAAGCATTTATAGCCCTCCCGGGTTTGAAGGGAAGATGCTCATTAGCTGTTTACAGTCTGTATGTTCATTTAAATACCCTCCTCAGTTCTGATTCTCTGTCCTGTGCTTGCATCTATTCTCTATGGTTGCTTTCTGTAGGATGGCAGCCGTCAGCTGAGAGGAGGAACTGGAGCATTTGCTTTGTACACCTGCCAGCCTCCCAGAGTTGAGAAGTCTCTTATTTATCTTTGTAGTCTCCTCCTAGCCTAAGGCCAGCCTCAGCAACTGTTTGATTGAAGAGTGAGAAGGAAATACTCTAGTCATATCCCGACACCTCACTCCTGTTCCCTGTAGCCCAGCATCCTCAGGATGCAGCCTGGTCCCACCTCTCCAGTCCCGCTGTGGGAGCCCATCAGCAGACACACTGAGGGCAAGGACTGTCTCTTACACAGTTCCCATTTTTTTTAAATGCCTAGTCCCTCTGCTAACTCCAGTTTGTTTTTGTTTCGTTTCTTTAGTAAAATTATGAGATAGATATATATATTTTTTTTACTGACACTCTTTCCAGAGTCCATGCGTATCTGAATGGCTGAGCAGGAAGGTTGACCAGAAGGCTTCTGAAGCCCACCAGCCCCTTCTGGGACACTTCTTTGTTCTTATCAAAGAACCTCGAGTCGCAGCTGCCTTTAAGTGAAAGGCAAGAGAATTCGGCATGGTGTGCCTATGTAGAAAATGACCGTGGTCTTAAACCCCTTAGCAAAGGTTTTAGATTGGCCCCAAGCCTCGGGAATGCCAGCAGCCTGAGATGGGCGTTAAACTTTGAAATTTCAAGCTCTATTGCCATTTTGTTTTACCAGAATGTGTTTTTCATGGTAAGCAAAATGAAGATCACTTGTTGCCCACCTGACTGCTTAACTCATTTTCCCATGTTCGCTCCCAGACAACTGCAGTGACCTGAACTCGGAGCTGCAGAGGGTGCTGACGGGGCTGGAGAACGTCGTCTGCTGCAGGAAGAAGAGCAGCTGCAGCCTGTCCGTGGCCGAGGTGGACAGGCACATCGAGCAGCTCACCACGGCCAGCGAGCACTGCGACTTGGCTATTAAGGTAACCTCCCCACCCTGTGTGGCTCTCTGAGGTTAGATAGAGGAAGTGGTCAGATCCGTGTCTTTTGCATTGCGGTTTTCTCAAATACCTGTTGGGAATGAGCGTTTCTGAGAAAGCTAGACTTATGGCTTGGGCCACCAGGTAGAAGCTGGAGCCCTAGAAATTTTTGTTGGGCTACATTACATTAGAAAAAGTCATTATGTCAGCAGTCAGGATCATTGACTTTGCAGCAAAAATGAGTTTTCCTGGAGATTCTTAGGCTGCTCATATTGAGCCACATCATTTTAGTATGGTTCATCACGTAGCCCGAAGATTAACGTGGAAGTTTTATTGAAGCTTTGTGGCCTTTAGAATATTCTTTCAGGAGTTATCAGGTCACAGTGCTAACAAGGGGGAAGCTCCAGGCCTCAGTGAGTCACGTGTCCTGAGCACCTTGGTGCTGGGCCTCGGCCGCGCCGTTCACATCCACCCACCTAACCTTGGAGGAGGGAAAGAGAGGAACTCGCTGCACCTGCACATACTCATTGTGAACAATGGGAACGTCAAGGCCTGTTGGTGCTGGGCCTCTGGGGTCTTTATATTACTTCATTGTAGCTTAGTGACCTAGGTGTAGTGATTGATTCTGCAAAGTCTGGGAGGGGCCTATGGAAAGGGAAAATGTGAGGAGTTACTTGAAAAAAATGTCTCAGGACTCTAGGCCCAAGTTTCTATCACCAGGAATCCTGGGTTGCACCGAGCAGCTGGAGTAGCTCAAGGTGAGCCGTGAGTCATATTTATAACACAGCTGGTTTTCCATCTTTATTCATCTCAATTATTAATATATCAGTGATGTGGTTTGGGGAAGCAACCACTGGTGCTTCTTTGTCTGGAGTCTCCCAGGCCCTGTATTTAATTTTAATGTTCACTTGGGTCCTAGCCCTGGCCTCAGTTCTGAGAGGGAAGGAGAAGCCAGGGGCTTCAGCCAACCAGCAAGGGGCAGAGCAGGGCCTCAGATTTGAGAGGAAGGACAAGGCACAACTCGGGGAAAGTGGCAGCACGATGGGATCGTGAGCAACCGGGAGTGACTTCCCCTTTTGTTTTGTTTCTTTGTTTTCGAGACCTGTTTCTCATCATTTCTTCACTGACATCTACTCCTACCTGGGAATTCTCCCTCCTCTCTCCATGTCACTTGGCTTCTGCTTCCTTTTCCAAAAGACAAGAAATGTGAATGAATAGCTCCTGAAAGCAAGCAGAATGAGCTCTTTTTTCTAATTTTCTGCACATTTCTTCTCCATTGATAGCATGTTTTAAATGGATTTTTTAAACTCTCCAAGTACTATTAAGATTCTGCTCTTTTTAGTTCATTAATTAAATCCCCGCCGCCTTAGAAACCTCCACAATGAGCTTCCTCTTCTCTGTGTCACTGAGGTTTATTTTCATCTTGCGCATCTTGGGACTGAACCTCATTCACACCCTCTGAGTCCTGATGTCACACTGAAGCTGGAAATGGCGGTGTGACCTCTCATGTTGCTGAGTTGGAACAGGGGAGGCCTGCAGTTTGGGAAACTCCCACGTTCGAGTCTGTGTGCAGTTTGCAGCTTCCCATTTGCATTGTCAGGGTCCCTAACTGGCCTGCTGTCTGCTGGCGTGTAGTCACCAACTCGGGAACGTGGGCAAGGAGATAAACATTGTGGGCAGTTAGTGGCAGGAAGGGGCTGTGTGTTTCTTACTCTGGGACTGCTGGGTAACACAGACTAGGACGCAAGCAAGCAACAGAGTCTGATTTGGAAATAGGGAGAGGATGATTTGGGGATGTCACTGGTCATGATTATGTTTTGTAGCGGAGGCTGTAGAACCCACTCCTCTGCACACTCACTCCTGTCCAGCCTGTTTTCTTCCCTGCCCCCTCCTCCCAGTCACTCACTTGGCTCGTTTTGTGACTGTGTTTTCTAGACAGTCGAGGAGATTGAAGGGGTACTCGGCCGGGATCTGTATCCCAACCTGGCCGAGGAGCGGTCTCGTTGGGAGAAGGAGCTGGCTGGGCTGAGGGAAGAGAATGAGAGCCTGACGGCCATGCTGTGCAGCAAAGAGGAGGAGCTGAACAGGACCAAGGCCACCATGAACGCCATCCGGGAGGAACGCGACCGGCTCCGGAGGAGGGTGAGCCTGCCAATTCCCCTGGCCTGGGCCTTTCCCCGAGGGCGCGGGCCAAGAGGAGCCAGCATGCAGATCCAGGGGCAGCCCAGGGAATCCTGTGGCATTGGTAGCCTTGGCAATTGCCATCCCTTTCTGGTTATGAAGTCATTCTTTTTTAAGCCATTCTTGAAAGGAAAGTAATTGGAAAGTGCTGAGGTGTGGAGGAAAGATTTTTTAAAAACACTATTCTCCAGAATTTCAAATCTAAGTGGATGATAAAGTTATATCAGCACAGTGATCCTCAACCCATTCTCCCAGGTATGCAAGTCTTTCCCCAGCTCAATTAAAATGCTCTTCTTTTATGATAAACTAATAATATTTTATAATTTGCAAAAATATATAGAATTTTCCCCTTTGCAATTTCTTTTATAAAATTCTTTAAATTTATAGCAGCTGCTCTCACTTATAGCGAATCTAATGAGAAATATCGACTCTTCTAGTGCAGACTTAATGAAGTTAAAATAATTATATAAGTATATCTATGTCTATATGTTTGTTTTGTGTATGTACATATATGCTGTGTGTGTGTGTGTAATTCCTGGTATTCACCCCAGTGTACCAGTGGCTCTATGGCCTGAAGCAGTTTTCAAATCACTCTGTTTAGGAAATACATCCATTACTAAAGGGACTGATGTTTCAGGATAGAAATGTTTGGCAGAATTGTCAAAAGCACTCACTTTTCCAAAGATGGAGTGTTTTTCTCCGGAACCCACAAATACTTCTTTGTTTGGCTGTGAATTTGATCTGTGATTGGACTGGGGGCTGAAGTGAGGAATTCTTCAATCAGAAACAATTCCCTCTGAACTTCACTTTGAATTACGAGACCTGCTTTACTCTATGTCTCAGTCTTGGTGATATCAGAAGCCTGCTCTCTAGGTTTGCTCTCACTGGAAATATTGCACACAGATTAGGTTGAACTAGAGAGGAAAAAGTACATCTAGTCATGGTCCTCCCCCTTACTTTTGAAGAACACCTTTGACATAACTTGTTCTTCAGAAGGGTCAGCATGTGTAACTCTTTCTGATTTTAATCCACGTGTAAGTTTCCTTAGTTACTGTTATGTATGAGTGTGGGAGAAATTACTATTTTTGAACGTTATCGGCTCTTCTCCTCACTTGCGGCTAATGTTATAATTAAAAGGCCAGCATTCCTGCCTCTCAAATCCAAACATCATTTTGTCTGAACTCACGTGCATAATAAGCTTGTTTCCTGCACCCAGCTATATCAGATGCCATCCTGCATACTTGCATCAGCAGGTGTAAATCACCGCAGTCAGCAAAGACTGTATCTGGCCAAGCTGATGACATTTCCTCCATGCTGAGGCNGTCAGCAAAGACTGTATCTGGGCAAGCTGATGACATTTCCTCCATGCTGAGGCCCCCCGCCACCTGTAATTTCCTGGGCTGAACTCCCTGGTCATCATGACTAATGCCCTAATTAGGTGCACTTGCTCGTGGCATGGACATTCTGATGGTGTGTATCTTGTGAAGGAAATACTGGTCTCAGGTGTAATTACATGTTGTGATTTAGAATAAATTTCCTCCTCCAACTTAAGTTACTAAAAGACAAGAGAGCCCTGGATTGTGACTAGCAAAAGATAAAAATCCCATCTCCCCTCTTCGAATATTTTCTCCCACTCTGGAGGTTAGTATTACAAACGGCCTTGTTTGGTGATTCCCTGAGCCAGGGCTCTAGAGCCTGACCGCCTGGGGTCACGGCCTGACCAACCAAGTCACCATGAGTCTGGCAAGTTATCTAACTTCTCTGTGCCTCAGTTTACTCTGCCATAAAGTAGGCATAATACTAATGCCCAATATAGGAAAATTAGTTAATATTCATAATGTGCTTAGATGACCTTTCTTCTGATCACAATTAAAAGGTAGTTTAAATTTGGCAGTTAAGCCGGCCGGGCGTGGCTCAGCCTAGGATCCAGGATATCGTGGTTCCATTCCCAGTCAGGGCACATGCCCGGGTTGCGGGCTCCATCTCCAGTCGGGGGCGTGCAGGAGGCAACCGATCAATGACCCTCTCATCATTGATGTTTCTCTCTCTCTCTCCCTCTTCCTTCCTCTCTCTGAAATCAATGAAGATATATTTAAAAAAATAATAGCAATTTTTTTTAAATAGTAAATTTGGCAGTTAATATATGTGTTTTTTTCATTTTTTTTTCTATCTCTTAATATGGTTTTATATTACCTTTATATAATTTATATTTCTGTTTCCTCCAAATAAAAAATATAGCGAGGAACTTGTATCTCTTCCTCAACTTGAAATTTCCTCAGGAATTTATATACATACCCATGGATTGGATTTATCTCCCTTTATTTCAAGACAATTGTGGGTCTCATAGAATTTGCTAAACGCCTGTGAATGCCAGGTTACTAGACTTCAAATGCTGCATGGCTTCCACCCAGCACCGCCCAGCACGTTCATTTCCCTGAGGAGGAATCTGTTTTTTGTGGTTGCTTGTCTTCTGTTCTTCATCATGTGCAGCTCTGTGGAGTGGCTGAGGTGTGCTTTCATTTCCCTCCTTGTGATACCACATGATACATGGCCGGTCTGCCTCTGCTTCCTTTATGGAAGCTCTGAATCCACGGTTCATCAAAGTTGCCTGAAAAGTAATTGGGGCCACTTTTTTTTTCCATGGCTCACATTTATTTTATAGAATTTGAACTGACCAGATCAATAGCATTGGTGCTTGCCCCCTGCCCGTAATTAAACAAAGTGCCCTCAGTAGGTTTTCTGAGGCTTGTTCCAGATTTAATTAAATTAGATCTTTAATGTTAGTTAACAGATTGGCCTACTTGGCAGAACAGACAACAGGCAGACCATTTTTATTATTGGTCCCAGCTCATTATTAAATGAGATAATCATTTATTTCTGCGTGCTCTGTAATGTAACCTTTCATCTCCTCACACTTAAAGAAACGGGCTTCATTTAGGCAAGGTAGAATTAATTACTCTAGAAAGGAAGCACTTTGCTCTCTATTCATTTTGTAAACATGATTGGTCGCCTCCTCTGTGCCGGGCAGAGGGTTTACGGTGACAAACAGGACACAGTCTCTGGCTTGAAGGATTTGGGGGAAACAGACAAGTAAACAGGTCATTGCAGTGGTATATGTCAAGTGGTAGGGAGAGGTGAACACAGTGGGTGCCCTGGGAGCTTATAGGAAGGACATGTGTTGGCTGGACCAGCTTCCCCACACTATTTGCATTTTTTATCTAATTGTTTAGGTCAACTGCCATGCATCAAAAATGATCAGTGCTTTCCCCAGATAGTTTGGTAAAGCAAATTGGATGTGACCACAGGCTCATGAATCTGTGTCCCATTGAATTATAGACTTGAATCAAAAATGGGCCACATGAGTTCTTTCGAGATTTTATACAAATTCTTCAAAAAATCCTACAAGTTCATGGCATACGGTGGTGGTAGCAGAGTTTCTTCCTTGCACCCCGTGCCTCATCTGGGTATTTTCAACATGTTTGGAAGTGAATTCCATCACCTTTCCTGGGCTTCCTTCACCCCTGGGGCCTGGCCTCTGCTTTGACTCTCCTGTCATCACCACAGAGACTAGAAGACATACTGTTTTGAACCAAATAAAAGTCATCGTAATCTGAAGTTTCCCTCTTTTTATTTTGTCCACTGCCCCTCAAAATGTCCTAAAACCCTTAATATTAGTGAATTAACTTGCCTCAGGAGGAGGTAGAGCAGTATTTCCACCAATGTTAAGAAGACGACAGGAGTCCCTTTTCCAGTTCAATCACTCTTGATTCCTAAATGCAGTGTTACACTTACGAAGGGATTTCATTGTTCTGTATTCATAGGACCCACATAATAAAATGATCACCCAGTTCAGCTAAAGTCTTTTAAAGTATAAACGAGGACTCCAAAACCCAGATTTTTAAATGGCTGCCATTGGGCTCCTTGGCCAGGAAAAAGGACAGGTAAACTTCCCAAATGCTGCAGTACCCATTCCTTCCTTCTCACCTAGCCTCCTTAACAGAGAGTAGCCCCAAATATCTGGTAATATAGCCTTTTGGGGGTGGGGAATGAAGCTGGGAACGGAGGCATGAAAGGAAGGACGTGGGTAAGAAGAGAGCAATTTCCTTCATATATTGTCACTCTCAGGACCCATTTACTCTGTAAGCTTTTCAAAGTAACAATCCTGTCTTATACTTCTTTGGGCCATTCTTTTTAACTTATGATTACAGTTTTATTACAGCAAAAGGATACAAATCAGAACCAGCTAAAATAAGAGATGCTTACACAAGGTCTGGAAGGGGTCCAAACTCAAAGCTCCCAGTTGTCTTCTGCCTGTAGAGTCCTGGTGGTGGTTTCTCCTCTTGGCTGGGATGTGTGACAACGCTCAGCATTGCCAACCAGGGAAGTTCATCCAAGCTTCAGTATTTAAAGTTTTTATTGGCGTTTCATTATGTAGGTGTGATTGATTGAAACATTGGCCATGTGGTGGAACTCAACTTCCAGCCCCTTCTCTCTCAGGGAGATCAGGCTGATATCCTTTGGGCCACTTTTAAGTTTGGGGCTATGACAGGCATGATGGAGCTCCACTGCGTCCGCCCGTAGTCATTCTCATACAGTAGAGATCACAGAGGTTGTTGGGGGGGGTGGTGTCTAGCACTCGTCCCGTGAACTCACCAACTGTGGTCATTTATGGAGCATCCTCTTATATGTCCCCAAAGGACCCCCAGAGCCATTAGTCCTGAATCCATTAGGGCCAGTTTCTAAATACTGAACTGGTTCTAAACACTAAATCAAGCCCACCTTCAGTATTTACCCACATTATCTCCAAGGACACTTGTCAATCAATGGTCATTTCTAAAGGAATTGAAAATAGAAATCCAAATTAAACCAAAGGGCCTGCTTAGAGTAATTACCTTAAAGGTTGATCATGTATTATGTACTTCTTTCTACTGATTAGTTCATTTATAACAGTAGGCTGTCCA